AAATACCCCAGTTTTCCTGGACTTACTCATGTCTGATCTATCATTGTTCCTGAATCCTCTGCCAGGCATTTATTTATTCATCAAATATGTTTCAAGTGCCCATTATGTGCCAGACACTCTGATCAAAGTGCTTGGGAGTTCTGTAGTGAGGGATAGCAACTTAGGTCCTATCCTCAAGGAGCTCCCATTCTGCTGGGGAAGACAGACAGTAAGTACTTGTACAGAGATGGAATCAGGTTCACTACCTGCCTCTGTGTACCATGAAGAAAAATAAAAGCTGGGTAAGTCCAATATGGAAAGATGGCAGTAAAGCTACTCTGGAAAAACCCTCCCAAAAATCTTGGAGCAGGGGCTGGGGATGTGGCTCAAGCGGTAGCACCCTCACCTGGCATGCACGGGGCACTGGGTTCAATCCTCAGCACCATATAAAAATAAAATAAAGATGCTGTGTCCACTGAAAACTGAAAAATAAATATTAAAAAATTCTCTCTCTCTCTTAAAAAACAAAAAAACAAAACACAACACCTTGGAGCAAAGACCTGAGTGAATTACTATGTGAATAGCAGAAAAGTACTGGGGGCTAGAGCAGTTTAAGGTGCTTTAAAGTTGCTAGTATGACTGGGGTGGAGTGGTGGGGAAGCATATAGGAAATGAGGTGAGAGAGAGAGCTAGAGGCTGGGTGATTTAGGGCCTTATAAATTTGGGTCAAGTATTTGAACTTACTGGAGATGGGAAGCCATTGAAGGATTTTTGAACAAAGAAATTATTTCATTTTTAATTTAAAAGTATCACTGCAGGGGCTAGGGTTGTGGCTCAGTGGAAAGGCACTTGCCTAGCATGTGTGAGGCATTGGGTTCTATCCTCAGCACCACATAAAAAATATAAATAAAGTCATTGTGTCTATCTAAAGTTAAAAAATATTAATTAAAAAAAAAGTATCACTGCAACCTGCCATGCCCAAGAAACGCTGTAGGGGGCAAAGCCTGCAGGAGAGAGGACACTTTGTCCAAGGGAGGGATGATAATGACTGGAACTCAGTGGTATACTGGTGAATGTTTACAGGTTCTTTGAGAAGGGAAGGAAAGCCTGTGTAAGTACTCCCACAATGGTGATTTCGAGGCTATCAGTGTGCTATCACTGAATATGGGAAAAGCTGTGCACAGTCATATGAGCTGGTGTAAGGCAATGCTTGCATACCACTAATGGTACTTGGATGCATTTATCTTGTGGCATTTGCAAGAGGTGTACATTCTCTAGGGTGGGTGGAAGCTTTACTACATTTTGGGAAAGAGGGGGAGGGAAAAGATTATCAGAGGAGGAAGAGAGTCCATTTATAAAGTCCATTGTGTTAGTCTTGCAAAATAAACCTAGATGTTGGAGGCTTCACAGGAGCTCTGGACTCTCAGATCCTTTGAAAGTGGAGCTCAGCCCAAACCTCCCTGCAAACAGGAAGCTGGTTTGAGTTAAAAACATAAAATAAAAACCAGCTGATGCCCCTGAATGTTTTCCCCTACTCCTCCCTCTCTACAGAGCTAAAGGAAACTGCTTTTTTCCCCCCTTGAATAGCTGCTTTAGAGAGCCAGAAAAAGCCAAAAACCATTAACTCCTTTGAAAATAAGCCAAGTTTTGAGCCCAGGCAAACTCCTGTCTGTGAGGTTTTCCTAGTCTAGAGTTATGTTCCACTGTGCAGAGTGTTAGAGGAAAATGACTGAAGAACACAAAGGTGTCCCAAGTCTGGCAGAGAGAAATGGTCTGTATGTAGCAGGTTTCCCAAACTAGATCTTCCAGCCCATTGTAGGTCATGATATCAATAAAGTAGGTCATAACTAGAATTATTATTATCATTATTAATAGTAGTAGTAGTAGTTGTTGTTGTCATTGTAAAAGGGGATTGAACTCAGGGGCAATTTACAACTGAGCCACATACCTAGCCCTTTTTACTTTTTGAGACAGAATCTTGCTGAGTTTCTGAGGCTGACTTTGAACTTATGATCCTCTTGCCTCAGCCGCGTGAGCCAGTAGAATTTACAGGCATGGGCTACCACATTAAGCCCCAGTTATTTTTTTTTTAAGAATTTTTTAATATTTATTTTTTTAGTTTTCAGCGGACACAACATCTTTGTTTGTATGTGGTGCTGAGGATCTAACCCAGGCCGCACACATGCCAAGGCAAGCGCGCTACTGCTTGAGTCACATCCCCCAGCCCCTTTATTTTTTATTTTTGAGACTGGGTCTCAACTAAGTTCCTTATGGCCTCGCTAAATTGCCGAGTCTGGCCCCAAATTTGTGATCTTCCTGCCTCAGTCTCTTGAGTACTGGGATTACAGGTGTATGCCACCATACCTTCCAGGTAATGAAATGGAATATACTAGAGTATATCACATGCAATAAAAATTTTGCGAAACCTTTTAGCTTTATGCTGAAAAAGTATATCCAGACATACATATATGTATACACTGGGATATAAAGTATGTTTCTTACTATGGGTCATGGTCAAAAAATTTGATAATCACTGGTCTTTTAGGACCTGAGTAACCCACATCTCCTCCTGCTTTAGATTGCTGTTGAAAAGTACAAACTAGTTTCACAGTTCTCTGAGGAACTGGATCATCTATCCACAAAACACCTACCCAAATTCCTATCAGAGGGAAGAGCATCTGAGAGCCAGCTGACTTGTTCTGATTTTTTGGGACCAACATTCAAACATAAGGAGGGAAGGAGTTGATGCTAATTTGAACTGAAAGGATTTGCCTTAAATCAGATTAGCTTGAATAGAATAGGAGTTATTAGCCTTTTAGCTCACTGTACTTAATTTTGTGACTTCTACCATCCATGTGGGTCATGCCTCAGTATCCTCTCTCTCCACTGTACAGGCAGTAGTTATAGCAGGAATGCTCCTGAGCACCCCTTCCTCTGGGATAATTAAAGGTGTAGTGCTAAGATGAGTATCCTCCAGATTTCCCCAGGATGAATATGTACTCTCTAGCCAGTGTCAGTTAACTAGATGCCAGGGGGGGAGGGTCATTAAGCTGAGAAAACGATAGAAAGAGGCATAAATTAGGGAAAACTGCCCAGTGTGGTGGTTCATACCTGTAATCTCAGCTGTTTGGGCAACTGAGGCAGGAGGACTGCAAGTTTGAGGCCAGCTGGGGCAATTTAGTAAGACCATGTATCAAAATACAAAGTAAAAAGGCCAGGAAATGCAGTTCAGTGGTAGATTGCCCCTGGAGTCAATCCCTAGTAAAAGAAAGAAAGAAAAGGAAAACTATTAAGAATGTCTAGGATAAGGTAAAGTTAGTCACTCTCTCATCAGATTTACTGAGTCAACTAGGCCAAGGGTAACTGACAAATTTGGTACTGGCCAGATGGCTGTGGTTTGGTGCCTTATAACTAAACCACTTCTATCACTATATAGATACAAGTTGGAGTTCTTGATCCATATCCCCCTGAAGTACAGAAGACTCTTGGGAACCTTTCTGAGGAAAAGGTTTCAGCTATATCATCCTGGGAAGTTTATGTTTGGTCTTTGACCAACACAGGGCATTGCTTTCCAGCCTAATTCAAACCAAAATGATCCTTGGAGATAACAAAGAGTACTTTCAGTTCTACTATTGGAATAGTAAGAGGAAACTATCCTGGTTGATTCTGGGATTACCCTCTCTAGAAACTGGCCTGGACTGGGTGTCTCTACCATGTCACAAGTATGAATACCTTTTAGGTGTTTCTGGTTTAATTGTTCCCCTGGGATTTCCAAGACTCCTCAGGTTCAGAGTTTTCATATCAGACTATAGTGTAGCCTGTTTACATGGCTATTCTGCATTCAGAAGCTCAGAAGCTTTCTGAATGAAGGGAAAGCAAGGACATCCCTAAAGAGGACTGGTGCAAGAAGAGCCTTCTGACGGTACTGGAGGAGACTGGACCTGGAGTAACCAGCAAACTATCCTGTAGCAGAGGGTGAGGTGGAGCAGTAAGCAAAAGCTTACAGGGCAGTCTGAACCTCATATGGCATCATCTGGCAGAGAGACCAGTGATGGGTTAATTTAAGTTTAGTCCATATGGGTCTTAGGGGCTGCAGACAGCGTGAGGTGATAATAATGAGAGTGATGAATGACTTGTGTGACCATGTCCTTTTAGAATCTCTGAGCACTTTGCATGTTTCCCTATCATCTCTGTGGGAGATGTGGCTTAAATAATAATAGAGTATCCTCTATACTTTGCAAAACACAACATTAAGCCATGTTTCTGCCTCCTAGGCTCAAAGTCTATATGAACTGGTAGACATTTGGGAGGTAGAGACCTCTGATGGGGAGGGGAAGAACATGATAGAATGCAGAGGTCAAGGATAGTTGATGGACCTGATGGTGCATACCTGTAACCCCAGCAAATTTGAGGCCAGCCTCAGCAATTTAGTGAGACCCTGTCTGAAAACAAAACAAAACAAAACAAAAAAAACAAAAAAACCTGGGGATGTAGCTCAGTGATGAAGTATCATTGGGTTCACTCCTTAGTACACCCATCCCTGCCAAAAAAAGTTAAGAGATATTATGAGTCACCTAATCAATACCTAACATCCTTTTGGTTCTTGGTAGATCACAATGGCCTATCCTTCATGCCTGACAAGGCATGAAGATCAGTACATTCCCTGAACTTTATATTACACATGGTTCCCTGAGTCTCATAGACCCAAAAGCCCAATCTAGGGACCCAAGGCCCTAACTTGTAAATAGTGCCTTCCTGAATTGCTTATTGTTCTTTAGCCATGGATTGTGCTTTAACCTGTTGATTTTCTTTCCCACAGTACCTGTACATTGAATCTGGTTAAACACAGGGGATGCACACTGAAATTTTCCAATATGATCAAAAGTCCTTTGACCTAAACAGAGCTTGGAGAAATCATAGCTCCATTTTCTTGAAGATAAGGGCATCAGGAAAGCACTTCATCACCTCCGTTCTGAACCTACTCTGTCTATAACATGTCACTTTCTGTCTTGTTCTAACAGGTAACCTTGGAGAAGGTGTTGGGAATAACAGTGTCTGGAGGCAGAGGACTTGCCTGTGATCCCCGATCAGGCTTAGTTGCCTACCCAGCTGGGTAAGTGCCTTGGAATAACGGATCTTGTTGTTGCATGTGAGTTTATAGAAATGCTAGACCAGGTGGGGTGGGCTGGCATTTTCTGGTATCTTCTGGGAGATATATCCAGGTTAATGTTTTCGTGCCATTTCTGTAACTAGGTAAAGGTCTTTGTTGGGTATTGTCCTTATTGCTATCCTATCCTGCTTTTTGACCATCTGTCCCCACCTACCCACCTACACATACAAATTTATACTTTATATTACACATGGTTCCCAGCACCATCTTCAATAACTACCTTCTAGCCATTGTTAAAAACACCTTTATTGAGGGCTGGGGATATAGCTCAGTTGGTAGAATGCCTGCCTCCCATGCACAAGGTCCTGAAGGTCCTGAGTTCAGTCCCTAGCACCACCAAAAATAAACTCAAACAAAACAAAACACCTTTATTGAGGTTTAATACCATATGATTAAAAATATCCAATTGAGAACTGGATATAGCTCAAGAGAGTACTTGCCTAGCTTGTGCAAGGCCCTGGTTTTGATCCCCCAGCACTGCAATAAATAAACAAATATCTACTATCATAGTCTTTAGTATTTTCACAAAATTGTGCAGCCATCACCACAGTTGATTTAAGAAAAATTTTATTGCCCTAAAAATAAACTCCAGCTGGGTACAGTGGTGTATGCCTGCATTCCCAGCAACTGAGGAGGGTGAGATGAGAAGATAACAAGTTTGAGGTCCGTAATAAGATCCTGTGTCAAAATAAAAAAGGGCTGGGGGTGTAACAGTGGTAGAGGACCTCTGGCTTCAATCCCCAGCACTGGAATCAAAAAACAAACCAAAAAACCCCTCCACATAGGTGGGTATGATGGCATGTACTTATAGTCCTAGCCATTGGGGTGGCTAAAGCAGGATCATTTGAGACCAGGAGGTCAAGACCAGCTTGGACAACATAGTGAGACTGTCTCAAAAACAAATTTATAAGGAAAAAAAAAGAAAGAAACTCCATAGCCATTAACAGTCCTCTCCAATCCCCCTCCCCAAATCCTCAGCCCTAGGCAAGTGCTAGTCTACTTTTTTGTCTCCACAGATTTGCCTATTTGGGACATTTCATATAAATGGAATCATATATTTGGCTTTTTGTGACTATCTTCTTTCACTTTGCCTAATATTTTAAAGATTCGTTCATGTCACATGTATCAGTACTCCATTCCTTTTTATGGCTGAATAATGTTCCATCATATTGCTATATCACATTTTAACTGTTCTTTGGTTGATGGATATTTGACTCATTTCCACTTATTAGAAATAATCCTGATATTACTGTTTATCTGCTTTAAGTAGTGTCCGTGCCATGAAAGAGAAGAAGGGGCCTGGGGATAATGTTATTGCTGTTGTTTTAATCTTCTGCTCCTACAAATCTCCTCCAAATGAGAAACCTGAATCATAGTTTCTTAGGCTTTTATAGAAGTGTTTTTTCTGGGGGGGGTCCCACCTTCTTCTAATCCTTTCTGTCCCTTGCTGATGGGCTCAGGAACATGAAAATAAGAAAGGCCACTGTTTTACTTTTCTTACCCCACCCTCAATTTTGGAATGCCTAGTTCCCCAATATAATTTCCCTAGCAACTTATATAGTTTTTATACCGGATACATGATTTACTTAGTTTCATAATCTCATCAAAAAGCTATCTTTATAAAATACTTATTATGGTCCAGGTACTCTTTAAGCACTTTATACTGTTTAATACTCAAGAGCAGTCCTGTGGGGTTGTTACTATTACCTCAATTATTTATTTATTGGTCGGGGGCAGTGCTGGGGATTGAACCCAGATGCTCCTTACCTTGAGCTACATTCCCTGTCCTTTTATTTTTCAATTTTTTTTTTATCTTGAAACAGAGTCTAAGGATTTCACTAAATTGCTGAGGCTGGGATCCTTCTAGGTTGTGATTCTCCTGCCTTAACCTTCTGGGTTGCTGGGATAGCAGGCATGTGCTACTCCATCCCATCTGCCTTCACCTCTCTCTCTCTCTCTCTCTCTCTCTCTCTCTCTCTGTGTGTGTGTGTGTGTGTGTGTGTGTGTGTGTGTATATATATATATATATATATATTTTTTTTTTTTTTGGTACCAGGGATTGAACTTGAGGGCATTTGACCACTGAGCTACATCCCCAGCCCTATTTTGTATTTTATTTAGAGACAGGGTCCCATTGAGTTGCTTAACACCTCGCCATTGCTAAGGCTGGCTTTGAACTTGTGATCCTCCTGTCTCAGCCTCCAGAGTCACTGGGATTACAGGCATGTACCACCATGCCCAGCCTAGTCACCTCCATATTTTAGAGGATGAAACATATTCAATGAGGTAAATCAATTTGCTCAAGGTTACATAATTAATGTCTGAATTGGGGTTACAATCCAAGAAGTCTGATCTCAGAGCTCTAACTCTTAAAATGGTATAGGATAGGGAAGACCAGACTTGCAGATTATTTTTCAAAGCTGCTTTTCCTCTAAACTGTCTGTCATTTGAATGAAAAGAGCCTAATTTATGGGCAGCTCATTCTGTGCCAGAGTCTTTTACCCCTAGGTTCTGAGGTCAGTGTCTCTCCTGAGGGGCCCTCTGGTGTTTGGTGTCTGTAGTGGGGGGACTATGGGAGCTGCACTGGCTCTACCTGACAGAGGTAGGGTTGGTCTTCTCCCCCTCCAGAGGCAAGTTGATGAAGGACCTCTGTTGCTGGATAACCCTGTACAGCCTGCCTCAGGGGAATTCCACTCATTCCTGCCTTTGCCTGGGAAAGCCAGGCTCTTTCTTGTTGGGTGTGGGGCTGGATCTAGATGAAGAATAGGCAGGAAAGGCCTAGGGTGTTGCTCTGGTGTTTGCTGAATTGGGGAGTGTGGAACCCTGTGCCTTCCCTCTTCCCCAAGAGACCCCAGGCCTGGCCCCTTTAAGGATATGTGCTTATGTTTATGGGCAAGTCCCAGCCTAGCACATGTGGCTGGGAGTCATTATCTTTACAGGTAGTGTATGCAGGCTTCCCTGACACTGCAACCTCTAGTAGGTCTTCCAACTGTGCTTCACTTGGGCCTGTGCTGGGCTCTGCCCCTGATCGGTTTGTCTTCTGACCTTTGAATTTTTGTCAGTTCAAAGAAACTTTGATTTTTCTCTTTGAAAATGTCCTCTTTCTGGGGGTTTTAATTCTACTCTTTGCTGAACTCCCTAATGTGCTTCTGGGATCTCCAGGGACCACTATAATTTGTGTGAGCCCAAACTAGTTCTTTCTTTTCCCTGTCTTCCTTCTCAGTGTGGTAATCCTAACACCACTCCCAACCCCCACTCTTGCTCCTGCTCCTGCTGTGCTTGTTGCTCCAGAAGCCCTCTCAGGTATCCTAGAAACAAGAGGAGAAACAAAACTTAGAAAATTCTCCCAGAGGCCTAGAGGCAAATATCAAACCAAAACAAAGTTTTCTGAGAGGAAATGAAACAGCACAAGGAAAGAAGGGTGGACAGCATATATCAGACAGCAGTATGGTTTGGAACTCCAAGCTGAGTGTGGAGTCTTTGTTAGAGACCCCTCAGTTATAGTGGCTCCTGCTTCTCTTCTCCAAGGCTCTCCCTTTGCTGTCATTTTCTCTACTGCCCACCCTCATCTGTCATGCTTTAAGCCCTCCTACCCTAGGATGCCAGCTTAATCCCCATATAGCTTCTTTGAGGCACTTAATTTAGTTGAACACCCTTTTTTCTACTTCACTTCACAGCCCCTGTTGTCACTTTGGAGCAAGTTAGTTCTGAGTATGGGTTTCTCTTGGCCTCATTGCCTGAGTAACCTGGGTAAGTGCTCTGGGAAGAGCTGCTCCTTGACCACTGGAGTAAAAAGTGTCCTAGCAAGGTGACTAGGCTCATCCAGCAGCTAAGAGGGTTCATGACTGCTTTAGGTTGGGAGGTGGGGGAAAGAGGGAAACTGACTTCACCTGAGAAGGCCCTTCAGTCTACTCAGCCCATGTTGGAATTTATTTTGGGATCCCCGCTTCAAAGCATTGGACAAGATACAACGAAGGACAGAAACTCCTCTTATGCTGTATTCTAGTAACATCTGAGCTGAAGAAACAAAGCTCCCTTCTTACTCTCTGAGGCAAGCCTTGTGTGGGTGTTTGCCAGGAAGTGTGTGGGACAATGGAGAGACCAGGTGGGCCTGAGAGGAGGATATTTGGACTTGGTGTCCTGATGAAATCATATGCAGGGGTACATACAAGCAGGGGCGGAGGGTGGGGGGAGCTTGGTACCTTTCCTTTCAACTTCCCTATATATCTTACACAGGAAACAAGTACCCCTTAGTTCTTCCCACAACAGTTTATTGATTGATGCATTCATTTGTTTAGCAGGTATTTGTTGAGAACCTGCTATGGGCCAGATACTGGGGATGTAGCAGTAAGTAAGACAGACAGGGTCACTGCTTCTATGGGGTTTAGCTTCAAGAAGGGTGAGCAGACAATAAGCATTTAAGCAAGTAAGTAAACAAGGTAGTGTCAGACAATAGTTAAAATAAGGGGAAAACAAAATAAGGGGAGGAAAGAGATTAAGTGAAAAACTGGGAGCAGGGAAGGGCTACTTTAAGATTGGGTGGTCAGGGATCAATCATTTGAAATAGTACCTAAATAATAAGGAGGCAGCAACATGTATGATTTGACTCCAAAAAGTTTCAGATGAAGGAAATGTCAAAGATGGTGAAGGAAGGAGGACTCAATTCACTTGAATTAATGAGAAGAAGGGTGTGTGAATGCTTCCTTTTTGACCTGGCTTCTAAGTCTTGCAATTCACTTTTTGTCAAGGAAAGGATTATGTTTAGAGTCCTCTGGGCAAAGAAAAGCATGCTGATAGCCCTAAATCATTGGGCATATAATTCACAGGGTAATATAACATCCAGTCTTTTCCCATGTCTTGGAGGAGGGGGCTCAAGAAACAGTGTTCCAGAAACCAGAGATGCCAGTAGACCTCATAACCTGGTTCACTTATCTTAACCTCAATTTTCTCATCTATAAAACAGAAGTAATATCTACCTCATAGAATTGTTGTGAGAATTGAAGATAGTATCCAAAATAACCAACATGGTGCTCTTGAAGGGTCCCCTAATACAAGGAAAGGGCTATCCAGGGGGTCAGCAGAGAAGTGAAGGTAGATGTCCAAGATCTTAGAATACGTTAGCAGAGAGGTGTTCTTGCTCTTTCTTCTGCCATATTGCCCTTGGGCATCAGTGGGTCATCCAAAATGCCTACCATATGGGAGAACCAATAGACCTGTGCTAGGACCTGTCCTGGTTCACAGGTCTACTACCCAGAAGATTTCTCAGCAGTCAAGAGTTTTGAGATCTTGCAGCTAGTAACTTAAAGTTGTATTCACTCATCCATAAATACTTACTGAGTGCCTATCTTCTAGGCCCTAAGGACTTACCAGTAAATAAAAAAGACAAAAAAAAAAAATGTCCTCTTCACAGAGCTGGCAATCTAGTGTGTGAAGTTAAATTATGTAGAATATTACAATTAAATGTACACTTGGAAAAAAGTATAAGCAGTGATGTTAAAGAGCAATAGAGAATGTGGAGAGTAGGTTTTTAGTCATAATTAGGGGTAGAGGATGACATTTGAGCCAGGCTTGAAGGACCTTTGGTATACCTCGTTGAGTCACTCTTGATTTTATCTGATCTGAAAGAAGAAATTTGAAGGCACAGGATCTCTGATTGAACCTTCTGTGCCTGCTCCCTGCATGTGTTGCTTCAGTCATAACTCATTTCAGGGTTCATTTAGCGCTGCCTTCTGGAAGTTGGAGAATAGTAGAAGGTGGATCCTATTGAATATGCTGGGTTCTTCTTGATGGTAGCAGGCCTGGACCTGTACAGGGAATTGGGTAATCTTGAGGGGTTGGCCCTTCCTGGCACTAGTATTCCACACATGACTCCCAGGAGCTGAAGCCCAGAGGAACTGAGACCTTACCCTCTTCCTGTGGGATCAGGCAATCTCTCTGCACCCTCAGGTTCTGAGTTACAGGAGTTGGACTGTTGGGCCAGCCCAGCCAGCCCAGCCAGCCCTGCCCTTGTCATGTTGAGGATTTCAGTTAGAACTGCTGCAAGGCTCATGCTGCCGGGCAGGGATGTGGAAATAGAAGGCCAAAGACTGATGACAATTGTGCTTCCCCCTGCTTTTCCTAGCTGACTGAGGAGCTTGCTGAAAGTTCACCAAGAAGAACAAGGAGGCTCCTTCCTGAACAGGACCTCCTGTTTTCTTGGGAGCTCAAACAGTTAGGCACACAGGGAGCCGTTCAGCATCTACATTATTGTCTCCACAGTGGAGCTGTTTCCATGGGTTGGTCTCTTCCTTTTTCCCTGTGTTGAATGGTTTTCAAATATGAATAACTAGGAGTAAAAAGTTGAGATTAAGAGCCTCCCTCTGTGTGTTTCTCTCCCTTTCTTAACTCTTCCATGCCATACCTGAGAATTTCCCAGGCTAACTAGTGGAGCGGGTGAATATTAGAGAAGGGAGAGTTTGTTCATCTGCCTCTAGACACACACACACACACACACACACACACACACACACACTGCTGCTTTTTCTCTTCCTCCCACCATGGAGTCAAACTTAGGAGAAGGAGGAAACAGGATGTTTTGTCCCAAGAAGTTTCAGAACAATGACCTGGAAAAGTTTGGAGCAATGACCTGGAAAGTGTTTTAAGCAGTCTGATGCATTGCCCTTTAAAAGCTATAATGCTGCTTTGAGACAGTGGGCTTAAGGGAAAACTCACAGGCTTATTGTAGAGCCCTCAACACTTAACTTTTTCTGGATGTGGTATGTGGTTGGTTGGATTGTATATCAAGTCAATTCAAGTATATCAACTCTTGAGTAGAAGCCCTCTGCTATGGTTGATCTGTAACTAATCAGAAAGCTAGGTAACTGGGCTTGGGATGTAGCTCAGTGGTAAAGTGCTTACCTAACACATGTGAGGCCCTGAGTTCAATTCCCAGGTTACTAGGTAATTCATAAACCAATCAGACTATGGAAGCTTTTGCTAAAGAGATGAACCTATACAGGGCCTCCTTAACCAGTCAGCACGGATTTTAAGAAGGTTCAGAAAATATCATTTGGCCACTGAAAATTGCTGGGCTGAATTCATGATGACGACAGACCTGGGGTGTATTTGTTTTCATACACTGGAAAAAAGCCTTAAAATCTGAATATCTAAATCTGTAGACTTTCAACTATAACTGCTATATATTTTTTTTTTTCATACACCTATTCAGGAGTGATTGAGCACTGTTTCCAAAGTCATCTTGTTTTTGTCATTTTGTAAAGCTCTCCTGACCACAACATTCTAGAAGGGAGAAATAAAAAAAAAGAAAGGAGAAAAGGCATAAAGGGAACAAGAAAGAGTAGATGGGGAGAGGAGGGGGGAAAATGGTTAGGAAGGAATGGGTAGATTGAGTTAGAAGAGATTATGGGCTCAGGAATTCCAAAGCTATTGGTCAGCTAAGCATTCACTAGCAACTTGGATCTCTTCCACTTCTAGTTTTCAGAAGCAGTGGGGTTTAGATATGGGGATTGTAGTGGGCTTCCCTCTAACAAAAGTTTAGGACTTGGGGAAGTAGCTATTTGCTCATTCTTCTCCTCCTCTTCCCTGGTGTAGCTTGCTCTTGTCAGAAGTTCCACTGCTAATGAACAGGTGAGGAAGGTGTGGAACAGGCCAGAGCCTGCTCAGAGCCAAGGAGCCTAACAAGAACATTGCCTGGCTACTGGCTTCTGGCTTCTTCCTTTTGATGCCTGCCACCCAGCTTCCCTCCCTGGAGCTGCCTCTGGGCAATCTGGACCTGATCCTGTTCAGCAGTCTTATTACCTGGCTGGAGTGCTCAATCGCTCCTGAATAGGTGTATGAAAAAAATATAGCAGTTATAGTTGATTTAGATATTCAGATTTTAAGACTTTTTTTCTTTTTTTAAAATTTATTTATTTATTTCAGTTCTTGGCAGACACAACATCTTTGTTTGTATGTGGTGCTGAGGATCGAACCTGGGCCGCCCGCATGCCAAGCGAGCGTGCTACCGCTTGAGCCATATCCCCAACCCAAGACTTTTTTTTCAGTGTATGAAAAAAATACACCCCAGGTCTGTCATCATCATGAATTCAGCCCAGCAATTTTTAGTGGCCAAATGATATTTTCTGAACCTTCTGTGCAAGGCAGGCAAAGTCCCTTCTTATCCTTTTGTAGCAGTCAGGAGGCCCTATTTAGAGATTATTTGAGATGGGCTTGGGAGCTCTGTGGCACTGTAAGGTTTTCTTCAAGCTATCTCTGTCTCTCATTCCTGTCTTACCAGGCCTCCCTGTAGTTTTGGTCCCCTTTGAGGCCTCCCATGCTCTTCCTTATCCAATATGTAGAAGTTTTGAAGGCCAGTTCCTGCCAGGTGTACACACATCCACACACATGAGAAGGCCTTACTTCTCCTTTGGGCACAAATGATTGACACACAAATGGCTGTGTCAGGCTCTAAGCCTGAGAACAGGCTGTACACCTGAGGCCTGCTTTACCTAAATCACATTGATTCTTCCCTGCTTTACTCCTTCCTCAGGTATTTGCAAGGGCTTTGGGAAGGCCTGTGTTCCTGCTGCTCTTTGTAGCTATGGCCAGAGATTGTGGGTTGGTACTTGGGAACTTGGTGGGTGTAGATGTCCAGGGAGCCTTTTTATCCTGCGGGGCTACAGAGACAGTCTTTCTTGGATGGAGAAAGGAAGCAAGAACAGGTTTCTAGGAGAAAGCATTGGAACCTTTCTGAGCTTGAATGTTTCCTCTGTTGGGTAACTAGAAGTCTTAGATGGCCTTCGAGCTTCTGGGGAAGCTATGATTTGGTGCTGAGTCTCATGTCTCACTCATCTCCTCAGGTGTGTGGTTGTGCTTTTCAATCCCCGGAAACACAAACAGCATCACATCCTCAACAGTTCCAGGTAGGTGGGCCTGGCTTCAGGGAAAACTTCTTCCTCCTGGCAGCATGAGAGGACACTGAGACTCTGACTGGGACATGGTTGGGGTCAGGGCCAGATAAGGCAGTGCTATGCCATCTGAGTCTCCTGGTTGTGCCTTTGGGAGAGGTCCTGGCAGTGGGTAGGGGGGCAGATTGCCACTGCCCCTCTGAATCTGCCCCATCTCTTGCAGGAAAACTATCACTGCTCTTGCCTTCTCCCCTGATGGCAAGTACTTGGTCACTGGAGAGGTGAGTGAAGGAGAAAAGCAGCAATTCTATTAAGAGTGTGGGTTGTCTGCCCTCAGCAAAACCATAATCCTGTGTTCAGTTAGGCTACTGTCAATTTGTCTTCCTGAACTGATGCCAAATCCTATTTTTTCTATACCTTAAACAAGTAGTTCTAAGCATTGGTATGCATCAGAATCACCTAGAAGGCTTGTTAAGGTACATGTTGCTGGGCCTGCCCTCAAAGTTGTCTGATTCTACAGGTCTGGGAATCCCCAAATGACTTTTCTAACAAGCTCCCAGAGAATAATGATGTGGGTGGTTAGGGAAGCATACAGAAAACCACTGACCCAAAATATTCCTTATCCCTGGAGGCCCCCTGCTGGGCAAGTGCAGAATACTTCTGCCTTCTCAGTCTCTTACAGGAAGGGTAGAAACAGACATGAGTGGTGATAGAAAGCTATCTGTCCATCAGAATCATTCAAGGAGCTTTGGCCAAATACCGAGGTCTGGGCCTCTACCCAGCTACACTGAATAAAATCTGGAACTACTGTATCTCTAATAATCACTGACATCATCGGATATTTATCATGTCTCCTCTATATCTTTGTTCTGAATAGCACCCTGCTCTTGACTTTTGGCCAGGGGACCATTAGAGATGGTGTCCAGTAGTAAGGAGGTGAGGGCTCCCACTCTGAAAGACCTTAAGGGAGGCTATATACCTATCTATGGTCCTCACTTACAGTTCTTACCTCCCTGCAGAGTGGGCACATGCCTGCCGTGCGGGTTTGGGATGTGGCTGAGCATAGCCAAGTGGCAGAGCTGCAAGAGCATAAGTATGGAGTGGCTTGTGTGGCCTTCTCCCCTAGTGCCAAGTACATTGTCTCCGTGGGCTACCAGCATGATATGATTGTCAACGTTTGGGCCTGGAAGGTGAGTGGTAGGTGAGATGGCCTGGAAACTTTGTGGGAGTTGAATTGTCAATTGGGGAGTCAGAAAGCTGTTACCCTGAGCTGCTGCCCTGAGCTACTTCAATCCACTTTGCTGATCTCAGTCTCATCCTAGAAAATGATCTGAAGAAGAAAATAGCAACTGTGTTTCAACCATGTTGCTAGAAAGGGCTTGCTTTATGTCTTTCTGATCTCTAAAGGAAATGTATCTTTTCAGTTCCTCTAGAAAGGAATTCTTTCCTACCCCTCTTTTTTCCAGCAGATCTTAGAAACATTTTTTCCCCCAAGTAGAATTTTTTTCTAACTCTCTTCTATTTGAGTCTCTTTCTTCTTAGCCCAGAGAGACAAACCCTTGATTCTTCTTTTGACTTTCCCACCAGAAAAACATTGTGGTGGCCTCCAATAAGGTGTCCAGTCGGGTGACAGCTGTGTCCTTCTCTGAAGATTGCAGCTACTTTGTCACTGCAGGCAACCGACACATCAAATTCTGGTACCTTGATGACAGCAAGACTTCAAAGGTGAGGTGCTGAGATAGTCTCCCACCCTGGGAGAAGACTGTTCCACTTGGGCCTCTTCTGCCTGCTCAGCCACCACACAGAAATTTTGAATGAGCCAGGTGTTATCTGAGCTAAAACAGTAGTCTCAAAAAGCAAGGGACCTTGCCATTTCCCCTCTCCTAGGACCTCTTTTCTAGGGGGAAGGATCTGGGGTAGATGGATGGCTAGTGGTGGCATGTCTCTACAGGTAAATGCCACTGTACCCCTGCTGGGCCGCTCAGGGTTGCTGGGGGAACTACGGAACAACCTGTTTACTGATGTGGCCTGTGGCCGAGGAAAGAAAGCCGACAGCACTTTCTGCATCACATCCTCAGGCCTGCTGTGTGAGTTCAGTGATCGCAGGCTTTTGGACAAGTGGGTGGAGCTGAGAGTAAGTACCTCTGTACCAGAGAAGGGCATGGCTCAAGTTGGGAGAACTGATGTTGGGGGCTCCAGATCCTAGGTTGTGGGCCTTCATGCATGCAGGAGGGGATTCCAGGAGAAGGAAGCCTGGGTTGCGAGAGTTGGCCCAGTGCCAGCTCCTGGTGATCTGTGTAACTGCCTCCTCTTGCTCTCTCTCTTTCTTTCTCTCTCCCTTGCTTTCCTCTTCTGCTCAGAACACAGACAGCTTCACAGTAAGTGCTGCCTAGACCTCCTCTATTCCTCAGACTGTTTCTCTCTGCTAGGCTTTTCTTACTTTATCTTTTTTTTTTTTTTTTTTTTTGGTACTAGGGATTGAACCCAGGGGTACTCAACCACTGAGTTACAGCCCCAGCCCTTTTTATTTTTTATTTTGAGATAGGGTCTCACTGAGTTGCTGAGGGTATTGCTAAATTGCTGAGACTGGCTTTGAACTTTAAACTGCCTCAGCCTTCCAAGCTGCTGGGATTATAGGCATGTGCCCCACACCTGGCACTTTATCCTCTTTGCCAAAACTTCTGGTGCCTTAGATCTCCCTGATCTCCATCCCTCAACTGCATAGGACCCTGGGCCCTCTGGCCACCTGTTGCTGGAGGGAGAGTATCACTGGATGATAGTTGAGGGGCTCAAGACATAGCAGCTGGGCTGCTATCCCCTCATCTCCACCTTGACTTTTCTCTCCTCTCAGCAGGGGACTGTTATTGAGGGGTTTGGGAGGAGAAGAAAAGACTGATGGGCAGGTGGCTCTTACTGACCTGAGTTACTTTGCCCACAGACCACGGTTGCCCACTGCATCTCTGTGAGCCAAGACTACATCTTCTGTGGTTGTGCTGATGGTACTGTGCGTCTTTTCAACCCCTCTAACCTACACTTCCTCAGCACTTTGCCCAGACCCCATGCCTTGGGGACAGACATTGCCAGTATCACTGAGGCCAGGTGAGCTATGTGGGCCCTTGCCTCCATTCATTGCCTTACCATGTACCCAGACTTCCTTGTCAAAAGTGCTTCAGAGAAATAAATAAAGAGTGTATTGATGCCCCAGAGATTACCAGGATCATTTCTGTAGACAAATTCATTTGGTTTTATTAATACTTTTCGAACCAAGGAGACCTTGCACTAATGGAGGACCAGGGAGTATCTCAGGTGGGTGTTTAGAGTAGCTTATTATAGGATTTGGGGTTTCATTAGATTATTTTAGGAATAGTTTAAGGGATTGAAGTTTTTTTCTGGTTGGGTGCTATTAGGGAACAATTCCTAGGGGAAATTTCACAACTGGTCCTCTTGATGCTTTTTATCTAAGAACTAGAAGGAAGAGTATGGGGTTAAGCTGTTATATGGTAAAGAAGTGGCCATCAATTGTGTTAGACAGGAAAAGGTGATGTTTGGTCATTTTTGAGGCTTGGATGGTGATCTTGTTTTCCTCTGTGTGCAGAGGGCAATGGGCAAGTGCGCATGATCAGCTGTGGAGCAGACAAGAGCATTTTGTTTTGCCTTGTTATGGCTACAGAATCACCTTGTCTGGCTTTGATATTCTGTGAACTTAATTCTGTTCATCAGGAGAGCATTGTGGCCCAGTAGCTAGTACTGGTCAACTCTCAGCTGATGGGTATAAGAGGCTGCTTCTTTGTTCTCAAGCAACTACCTCTAAACTTGCATGTCTACAGGGGATGCCTATGCCCTGCCCTTTCTTGTGAGTCAGCCTCTCTTCATTCCCTTTGGTCTCACCAGTTTATTTTGTCCTCTCCCCAACAGTCGCCTCTTTTCTGGAGGGGCAAATGCTAGGTATCCAGACACCATTGCCTTGACCTTCGATCCAACTAATCAGTGGCTGTCTTGTGTATACAATGACCACAGCATCTATGTTTGGGATGTGAGGGACCCTAAGAAAGTGGGCAAGGTGTACTCGGCTCTGTATCATTCCTCCTGCGTCTGGAGTGTGGAGGTATGTGGGTTGACCTGGTTTGCTGGGATGCCATTTTGAGGACAGAAAGTAGGGAACCCTAAGTATAACCATAAGTTCCTGCTGCCTCCCAATTTCTCCAGTGATGTCCCTGTTGTGGATCCTGGGATTGAGCTTGAATTTTACTGCTATGCATCCTAGGCTTCTTCCAATCTGCCCCATCTGTCCTTGGCTTTGCCTCATCCTGGGATCAGTGATTTTGAACAAGTTATTAAACTTGACCAAGCCTCAGTTTCCTCAGCTATAGAATGATATTCCTGATTCATCTAATGTTGTAAGAATAAAAGGAAAAGATATAAGTGGGAGACATAGAGGAGTGGTGCGTAGTTAGTGCTTGGTTAATGAGTTTTCCCTTAGTCATTATATAAAGTATGGGGCTGGGGTTGTGGCTCAGTGGTAGAGTGCTAGCCTAGCACATGTGAGGCACTGGGTTTGATCTTCAGCACCATATAAAAATAAACAAACAAATAAATAAAGGTATTGTTTTCCTCTACAACTAAAAAATATTTAAAAAAATATATAGAGTATGTGTTATGGCTTTACATACTATATGTGGAGTACCCAGCTAAGTCATAGCCAGCATTCTGTTTTTAATTTCATTCCCTTTCATTTCCTTGGGCAGAGAATGGACCCTTTCCCTTTGTCTCTCTTCCCTTTGTCCCTCTAGGTGTATCCTGAGGTGAAGGACAGTAACCAGGCCTGCCTGCCCCCCAGTTCCTTTATTACCTGTTCCTCAGACAACACCATCCGCCTGTGGAACACAGAGAGCTCAGGAGTACATGGCTCCACCCTGCACAGAAACATTCTCAGTAATGTGAGCCTGAGACCTCAGGGCCCCCACTCCATGCTTAGTTCTCCCATACCTACAGCCTTCACACATCATTCTCAACAACTGGGCCCTCAGACCTTGATTTTCCAGCTCTTGTTTAGTTGGGCTATATGAATCAAGATTTATATTGCCCAGCATTCCTTTCTTTTCTCAGCTATACTATCAAGTTTGCCTTATCCACATCTTCTAACCTGTTCTATTAGGATCTCATTAAGATAATCTATGTGGATGGGAACACTCAGGCCCTGCTGGACACTGAGATGCCTGGAGGAGACAAAGCTGATGGGTCCCTGATGGATCCCCGTGTGGGCATTCGCTCTGTGTGTATTAGCCCCAATGGACAGCATCTAGCTTCTGGAGACCGTATGGGCACACTTAGGTAATGCCAGGTCCAGAGTGGATACTGACCTATGGTGTAGGCTGGGGTAGTTAGGGCCCCAAGAACAGAGCTTTAGGAGGATTTGTCTCAAAAAGGTTGAGGAACAATTATTTATTACTTGAAAGGAAATAATAACTTTACTATGAGAGAGACCATCTTAACCAAGTGTTAATAGTTAATATCCACACATCAACATGATGAAGCCCATAATATGATGTTCTAAGTATATAACATTGTTTCTGTGGTCTTCTTACCAAAATGCAAAAACTCAGTTCACTCATGAGAAAACCCAGACAGACTCAAATTGAGAAACATACAACAGAGTAATTAATCAATACTTTTCAAAAGTATCAAGGGCATGAAAGGTAAGGAAGGATTGAAAAACTATTACAGACTACAGGAAGTTAAGAAGTAACAACTAGATGACATTTGGACTCTGGGTAGGAGCCTGGATCAAGTAAAAAGGACTTGTGAAAAAAATGGTGAAATTTGAGTAAGGTCTTTGTTTTTGTTTTCTTTGTCACTATTTAGGGATACTTAAATGGTTTCAATAATCAAGCATTGATAAGATCTTTCATATTTAATATGTTACTTCTGTACAAATGGAAACAGTATTGTACCATTGTAAATTTCCCTAGTTCTGATAATTGTACTATCATGTTATACAAGATGTTAACATTAGCAAAAGCTGAGGAAGGAAAATAAGAAACCTCTGTACTCTTTTTGGAACTTTTTTCTAAGCTTAAAAGTTTGAAAAGAAGAATTTGGAGGAGAAGATATAGTAGACAAAGGGGATGAGTCCTTCCTCCTGTGGCCTGGCAGTGACCTCTTTCTTCCTCTGCTCCTCTTTGTAGGGTGCATGAACTGCAGTCTCTGAGTGAGATGCTGAAGGTGGAGGCACATGACTCAGAGATCCTGTGCCTGGAGTACTCTAAGCCAGATACAGGTAAGCAGGATGCCCATTCTGTAGCCCAAAATGGCATAGAGTCCTCCAATCCCTCTAGTGCCACTTATATGTATCCTAGCTCTTATATGTGAGGCTGATCATCTTTTAGATTATTTGGTCTTTGTAGAGTTAGAAGAGAACAGCTCTGTCCCTGCTCCATGATTGATGTAGGTTAGAGATGTGAGGTTCAATTTCTTTGGGGCTCTTCGTCAGGTCTAGTTAAGAACATGCTCAGGGAACATGTGGGTTGATTGAGTTCTTCCAACCCTAGGTCTGAAGCTGCTAGCATCGGCAAGCCGTGACCGGCTGATCCACGTACTAGATGCTGGGCGGGAGTATAGCCTACAACAGACGCTGGATGAGCACTCATCTTCCATCACTGCTGTCAAATTTGCAGGTGGGACAGGACAATTGAGATACATTCTGCCACCTACACCACCTTCTATTTCTGTGAAAAAGGTCTGCCAATGGTGTAGAAGTTGGACAGCAGCTGGGAGGCCTGGGGTTGGATGGGAAGACAAATGGAATATTTGGAGGACCCTGAGCAAACCAGGTTGGGTTGAGGATGGGAAAAAAGGAAAACCTGGGTTTAGAGGGAAGCATTCTTATTTAATTGGTTGACCCACCATGTAGAATAGCTTGAGTGGGTGAAAACACAGAGGAAAGTTGCTCTCATGCAGTAGGAATGGTGGGAGTAGCTAGGCCCCCTTCCTTCATAGCCAGCGATGGGCAAGTGCGCATGATCAGCTGTGGAGCAGACAAGAGCATCTACTTCCGCACTGCACAGAAGGTGAGGGTACTGGGAGGTAAAGGGGGGTAAAAGCAGGGCTCAGTGGGTCTGGTGAGGCATTTGGGTATGGGACTGACCACATGCTCCACCCCTGCAGTCTGGAGATGGAGTACACTTTACACGGACACACCATGTGGTACGCAAGACAACCCTCTATGACATGGATGTGGAGCCCAGCTGGAAGTACACAGCCATCGGCTGCCAGGACAGAAATATTCGGTGGGCATCCCCCTCTCAGATTGTCAGACCACATTCTTTCGTGTTCTAAGGGATCAACTCTATACAGCTCATTTCCCATATGTATCTTTTTATTCAGGACTTTGTATCCCCTTGAACTTACACAATAAGTACTGTGCCTCACCCAAGAATGGTGGCCCCTATGGTGTTGGGGGTTAGCTCCCAGGAGTGACTGCTGGCATTTCTACCACCCAAGTGTGCTTGATTGTCACTCTTCCTTATAAGAGCAAGTGTGGTGTTTTTTTTTTTGTTTGTTTGTTTGTTTTTAAATAGGATCTTCAACATCAGCAGTGGGAAGCAGAAAAAGCTGTTTAAAGGATCACAGGGTGAGGATGGCACTCTAATTAAGGTAAGAGCCTAGTGGGATGGCACTGGGCCAAGGTACAAGGGAACAGAAAAGTATGAGGTGAAGAAGCAGTGGCTCTTTAGTACTCTTCATCTATGTGACTCCACTCCTCAGGTGCAGACAGACCCTTCAGGGATCTACATTGCCACCAGTTGTTCCGACAAGAACCTCTCAATTTTTGACTTCTCCTCAGGCGAGTGTGTGGCCACCATGTTTGGCCATTCAGGTGAGTGTAGCCCCACTACTCTGCTCCTGGAACTCTACTCTTTCTTCACTTAGTTTCTTGTGACCCAACAGAGCTATCTGACCTTGCCCTCCAACCAGCCACCATCTCCACAGTTAGGTCAGACAGGAGTGGTTGGAAATTCAGGGTGGCTTATAGACTATATTCTTTGTTCTTCACAGAGATTGTCACTGGCATGAAATTTAGTAATGATTGCAAACATCTCATCAGTGTTTCAGGGGACAGGTAAGTAGAAGCCAGCTTCCCCTAGAAACAGATTCTTCGTCTGTGCCACAAGCACACACTGTCCTTCCCCCTCTGTTCATCTCATGTATCTCTGGAAAGTAGGGCTAAACAGGGAAATTTCTTCACTGGGCCTAGCCTGGCAGTGGAGGGTGGCTGTGGTCTTCTTGCCAGTCCATAGGAAAGGAGGACTAATGGTGTTGCCACCTCCAGAGTCCTGCCCTGCCTCTCCCTAACCCAACTCTGTGGCTATATCCCAGCTGCATATTTGTTTGGCGTCTGAGCTCTGAGATGACCATCAGCATGAGGCAACGTCTGGCTGAGCTGCGCCAGCGTCAGCGAGGGGGCAAACAGCAAGAACCCACCTCTCCCCAAAGGGCTTCCGGACCCAACCGGTGAGAACAGAATATGGGCAAATGATGGGTGGGTGTCCAGATGGCTTGCTGTGATCTCACTGCTCCTCTTGCCATTCAGCAACTTTATCTCCCAAGGTTTTGCTTCTCAAACACAGAGTATTATCATCCTGACTTTTTCCTCAGTGTATCTGCTATCCCCATGACCTCCCTTATCTTGGACTCAGGCCCCAGACCCCAGTGATGCTCTCTTCTGGACCAGCTCTCTCATCAGACAGTGACAAGGAGGGAGAAGATGAGGGTACTGAAGAAGAAGAACTGCCAGCTCTTCCCATCCTTGCCAAGAGTACCAAGAAAGAGCCTGGTCTGTAGCAGTCTGGTGTGGGGCCAGACAGCCAACAGGTGGTGTAATGGCTAGATAGATCCTTTCTGTAACCCTAGGGTGAGATTAGCATGAACTGAGGAAACTGGGGCATCACTGTGGCAATGCAGGGGATAGGCTGATGTGGGGTCCCAATTCCAGGGGTGGGTAGTCACTGAGAAACTCCTTCTCACTTCCCATTTCTTTCTAGCCTCGGTCCCCAGCCCAGCCCTGTCCCGAAGCCTGTCCCATTGGGAGATGAGCCGAGTAAGTCTCCTTCATTCAAATGTGCTTTCAGGGTTACAGGAGGTGAAATGGTGGTGGGGAGGGAGCAGAGCCCTTTGTGGATTGTGAGGTATTTGGACAGAAGGTCTGCCCGTATGCTTTAAGGAAGGCATTACCAGAAGGAGTTCAAGCAGCTGGTCCCAGTTAAGAATGAAGAAAGTCCTAGTCTTTCCATCTTGTATCAGAAAATGTTGTTTAGTACTAGCGGAGCTGCTCCAACCCCTTCAGCTGCCTGGGGCCTGGGAGAAATGCTATCTGAAAGCAACTTGAGGTAAGGAATAGAAAAGGGCATCTGAGCCACATGGTTAGAATTAAAGTCCAGGAAAACCAAGTGTACAAAGAGCAGAAATGAGAAAGTGTAGGTCTAAAGAGTACACTACTCCCAATTAGGAGGTAAGCATAGTATTTGCAGAATAGTTGGAGGGAAAAGGCTATAAAAGGACCAATTACTGAGTGACTACTTGAGAGGAGCCAGAGGGGGTTAAAGGCTTTCACAGCAAACCCCAAAGCAGCCCAGCCCTCGTATGTCCCATGGAGATATTTCAAGCCAATCACCCTGTATCAGTAGCTGCAGTTTCACAGAGTGATGGTAGAATTGTACCTAGTGTGTTATTTTGACCACATGATGCATCTCAAGCTGGAATTTTGGTCCTTCATTTTGTGAAGGAACTTTGGGGCCCTGTTGGGTCTGATCTCAGGGTAAAGGACCTTTAGAGACATGGTGAAGACAGAGACTAGACATTCCTATGTGAAGGAATGAAAAGCAGTGAAGGGCATGAACTCTGGAGCCAGCCCCACCTGAAGGCCACCTACTGATTGTGAGACTTGGACTGGTCACTTAAGCCCTGTGTGCTTCCATCCCCTCATCTATAAGAATGGGGATGATACCTACTTCATAAGATTGTTGTGAGGATGAAATGACTAGTTCTTGGCATATAGTAAGGGACATATGAGTGCTTATTGATAGCATTGTGTGGTTCTTGTTGTTATTCTTCCTTTACTTTTTATCTCTTCCAGGCACAGGAGACAGTGGAATTCCTAGACCCAGCTCCTGTAGCCAACTCAGGACCCAGAAGAAGGGGGCGTTGGGCTCAGCCAGGCGTAGAACTGAGTGTTTGCTCTATGTTGGATCTGCGGCAGCTGGAGACCCTTACCCCAAGCCCTCAAGGCCACTGCCAGGACTCTCTGGCCATGACTCCATCTGGTCCTGGAAAGCATGGTCAGAAGGCCCCTGTAACTTCACATGCTAGCCAGGTGAGCCAGCTTTTCCCCAAATCTCTAGCGGTCTCCATGGAGCCTTAATCAGTTTCATGCCAATATCTCATGCCAATAGCTGCAGCCTGAGAATTGGTCCATCTGGGCTTGCTCTGCTTCTGTGGCACATAGGTCACCTGAACTGCAAGTTCAGGTTAAGGCTGGCTAGTTGTATGGTATGGTGATGGAGGTGGGCAGAGAAGGGGTGGGGGTGAAGAGAGAAAGATGACCTTTGCCCTGGACCAGCCAGGTTCCTTGGAGGACTTGGTATTAAGTGGGGCTGGAGATTGGCAGCACAGAGTGTGCTAATATAGGTCTTCCAGAAGCTCACAATACCAGCTGTCTGGTGTCTGTCCTCAGAGCTGAAGTACTCAGTTTTCTCAGAATTGGTGCACACCAAATCCTTACCTGCCTTCACCTCTTTACTAGGACCCTCTTCTCTCCTTAGTAACTCCCATAATGTTCTTTTGTATGTTCCCAGAATGAAAAATCCCCTCAGCTTCAGGCTTCCCAACCCTGTTCCTGTCCCCACCTTATCCGATTCTTGTCACAAGAAGAAGGGGTCTTTGCCCAAGATCTGGAGGCCGCACCCAGTGAAGATGGTATTGTCTACCCAGAACCCAGTGACAGCCCCACCATGGATACCAGGCAAGGGTTCTGCCCTGGCCACAGCCCCATTTTCCCTTCCCTCTGAGTGTTTTTCAGCTGGGTGAGGGCTAGGCCCCAGGTTGCTAAGGGCTTGTCTGACACCTTACCACCACCTCCTCCCTAGTCCTGCTCCCAGGCAGGAATCCAGTGGGGCTGTTGCTCTCTTTTGCTCACTGCCTCTTCTTTTCTAGCAGTGAGTTCCAGGTGCAGGCTCCAACCCGAGGAACCTTAGGAAGAGTGTACCCAAGTAGCAGGGGCTCAGAAAAGCACAGCCCTGACAGTGCCTGCTCTGTGGATTACAGCAGCAGTCGCCTTTCCAGCCCTGAGCACCCCAATGAAGGTGAGGCTACATCCCTGAGGGAGGGACCAGTTGACTGAAGCAGGGGATGCTTCAGATGGGTGCAGTGTGATGCCTCTCCACTCCCCCACATCCAGACTCCGAGAGCACGGAGCCCCTAAGTGTGGATGGCATCTCCTCAGACCTTGAAGAACCAGCTGAGGGTGACGAAGAAGAGGAGGAAGAGGAGGGAGGCACTGGCCCTTATGAGCTGCAAGAAGGCAGCCCCCATACCCCGGACCAGGAGCAGTTTCTAAAACAGCACTTTGAGACTCTGGCCAATGGGGCTGCTCCAGGTGTGGCCAGAGGGTCAATATTTGGTCACTACAGTCTGTCCTCTTCCTCTCCTTGCCCAGCTGAGAGGGAGGGTCAGGAAGGCAATGCTTTGGGGTTTGCCTCTAGGGGAAGCAGAATCTGGGGCAAAGTCTTGCCTTTTTGTCTCATTTCATGATTTCCATGACTGGCAGGGGCCCCAGTGCGGGTACCAGAGAGGACAGAATCTCAAAGCATCTCTTCACGATTCCTGTTGCAAGCGCAGACTCCTCCACTCAGGTACAGAGACCCCTCCCCACAGAAGCTTGGCTCTGCTAACTTCCCAGTGCTCCTACCTCTGGGGAGCACACAGCCCTCCTGTCCCCCTTTCTAAGGGTGTTCTGTGCTCCAAATATTAGGATAACTGGTCTCACCTCAACCCTGGTGGACTGGATTGTGCCTGTCTTCTCCTGGCACTTGTCTGGTGCAGGAATCAATATGCTCCCTCTGTGCCTCCCCTCCCCGCCGCCCCACTGCTTAGTGGAAGAAACACTAAGTTTTCTCTGGGCCTTATTCTACATCTCCTCCCTATAGGGACCCATCCTCCTCAAGCCTGGCATTGATGTCGAGACACATCCAGGTGTCACAGGTGTCTGGCGAGCAACAGAGAGGCAGTGATGCTAACCCCCCAGGAGCACCTCCAGAGGTGGAGCCCTCCCCTGCCAACCCCAGCCCCCATCAGGCAGCCCCTGTGCTATTGCCACGTCGTCGTCACAACCTGGACAGCAGCTGGGCTCCCAAGAGAGTGATCACAGCAGGCTTCTCGGCTGGACTCCAGAAAGCCCAGTCTGTGCATAGTCTGGTGCCACAGGGTGAGGAGCCTGATGAGCTCAGCCCCAGAATATGGGGAGTGTGGAACTCATGGGTGTACTAGAGGAGGGTAGAACTGGTGTGTCTGCCAGTGGATATCCTTAGTGGGCATGTGCAAGGGAACACCAGCTCCTAAGGTTTGAGCTGTAGCACCTGGGTGTCCTTCTTCACCACTTGACCTGTATATATCTCTTGTCTCCTCAGCAAATGAGATGCCTTCATCAGGCCCATTGCTCTCACGGGACATGGAAGTCCAGGATGGCCTGGATTCCCTGCCCCAGGTTGATGGCCGTCCATCTTGGCCCTACTCCTACCAGAACCCTACCACCAGTTCTATGGCCAAGATATCCCGCAGCATCTCTGTTGGGGAGAACCTAGGCCTAATGGCAGAAACTCAAGCTCCTGTCTCTATTCGAAACTCACCACTCAGCAAACTGGCCCTTCCTAGCCGGGCTCATCTGGTCTTGGACATCCCCAAACCACTGCCTGATCGTCCTACTCTGGCTACATTCTCACCTGTAACGAAGGGCTGGGCCCCTGATGATGCAGAACAGGCTGGCTCCCCAGCAGGCCTAGGAAAGGCTCATAGCACATCTGAGCGGCGGGCCTGTTTGGGTGAGGGTACTGCTCCCAAGCCTAGGATGGAGTGCCAGGCTCAGCCTGGGCCCAACAGACCCAGTGCCCAGCAACTGCCAGTCAGCCTCCTCCGAAGCCCTGAGAACCTGCAGCCCCCACCCCCTGAGAGGACTCCCAATCCCATGGAATGTATCAGGCCAGGCGCAGCCCTGAGCCAGAACTCAGGTGTGCACAGCTTCCAGCTCTTATCTCCTGCCCCATCCTCTCTCTTCTGTCTCTGTTAGCCACTCTCTGGTCCATCCCATTTCTGTGCATCCAGCCTCTGGTATTCTTCATCCTGTCTGCTCCTGTCTCACTCAACCCATAAGTCATATTCCTGATGGTGAGACACTCCTGCCAACCTTCATGATCTCTTTATGACCAACTTACCCCTTCTGGACCTTGGGGTTTGAGCTGGCTCTCTCCTCTGGACTTTGTTGTCTGTGTGGTTTTGGAGAATGTATTACAAGGGAAGCAGGAAAACAAGGCACAGTGGCATAGGCCTGTAGTCCCAGCTACTTGTGAGGCATAAGCAGAAGGATCACTTGAGCCTACACGTTCAAGACCAGCCTGGGCAATGTAGTGAGACCCTCATCTGAAGAAAAGAAAAGAAAAAGAAAAAAAGGGACATGAGGAAGGGATTCAAGAAAAGAAAAGGAAAAAAAGGACAGGAGGAAGGGATTGAGGGCTAGTGGGGATTTCAGTGCTGAGGGGTAGGCCTCTCTTGCTCTGAGCAGCCCTGGATGGGAAGGTCTGAAATGGCTTGCTGAGCCTTTCTGGTGTGTTTTTTTTTTTTTTTTTTTTTTTTTTTTGTCTTTTTTGGAACTGGGAGTTGAACTTAGGACTTTGCGAATGCAAGGTAGACACTAAGCTATATCCCAGCCCTTGCTGAGCCTTTCTGAGCTGTATCTGTTCCTCACAGAACTGGTGGTGAGCCTGGAGCAGTGTGAAAAACTTGTGGCAGAGCTCCGTGGGAATGTGCACCAGGCTGTACAGCTCTACCACTCGGTAAGCATTGGGCACCACCTGGCAGGAAGACAGAGCGAGGTGACAGTAGTGCGAGGTGTTTGATAGCTGAGTGTCTACAATGATAAAAAGGCTCTTCCACTAACAGTGTGAAGCACTCAAGACATCCGGGCAGAAGAAGCAAGGGAGTTATAGGCCAGTCCAGACCTCTTGAACTAGGTACCTACTAGTCATTTCTAGTTAAGAGCTTGAGATCTCCTCAGACAGGAGGATAGAACATGGAAAGACTGCATGTTCTAATTTTCTCAAGACAATCCCAGTTTATGCCTGTTGTCCCTGTGTAATTATTAACAGTATCCCTTTTCATTTTTTTTAATTTAAATTTTCCAAAATTATCTGGCTACAGTCCAACAAGGCCCAAGTTTTGAAAGAGAAAGTGGAGCCTACATGAATTGTAAGGAGTGGTTAACAATATATGGATGATTCCATAATCTGAAGGGATCCACCTCTGGGTCACCTTCTAGTCTGTGAGGGTCCCATATTCCCAGGTCATAATGAAATTGATTCTTGGAGTGTGGAACTCCCAACCAGTCCCTTCTTCTGAGGTAGCAAGGGAGTTATAGGCCAGTCCAGACGTCTTGAACTAGGTACCTACTGGTACCTGGAGCAGGTGGGGCCCCTCCCTTTTACATATACATTGATAAGACCCTTCACTGTTCCTTCAGCTCACTTCTAGGGGTCTTATTGCAGGTGGCTGGCTGCAAGACGCCCTCAGCAGAGCAAAGTCGAATCACTCAGCTCCTCAGAGACACCTTCTCTTCAGTACGTCAGGAGCTAGAGGCCCTGCCTGGTGCAGCATTGTCCAGTCCAAGCGGGAGCCCTGGGGCTGTGGGAGCTGAGCAGACACAGGCCCTACTAGAGCAATACTCAGAGTTGTTGCTTCGAGCCGTGGAGCAGCGGATGGAACGCAGACTCTAGCTTCAGAAGCGTGTCCCAAGTGAATGCTTCCCCATTCCAAACTGCAGCCCCTCTTCCACTTACCAAAACCTGTGGGGAGTGGATAGCAGGGATCAGTGCTCAGAGGTGAAGCAGCTTTCCCAGCTACTACTCCGGGAGCCCCTGTATTTATTAATTTATTTCCCAGACTGTTGCCTCACCTTTTTGAAACTCCAGCCTCCACAGCCGTTCTAGTGGTTCATGGCAGGGGTAGGTCTTGGGTCTTTGTCATCATGGTGCTGTGAGGGCTAGGAGGGCACCCTGCCCCATCTGGGAGACACTGGGAAGGGCTTGCCCTCTTTTTTAGAAGCCATTTGAAATTACTTCAGGGATCAGCTCCCTGGGGTGGAGCATTCACAGGGTACTCCATGGGGGTAGAGGTGAGAGGTAATGTGGTATTCAATGCCCTTCAGTCAACTGAGGACTTTCACCTCTATTTCCTTTCCCCTCCCACACCAGCTACACTCTCGTGGTTGCCAGAGCAGGCGTTGTTTCCCCCAGTTCCTGGCAGTTTAGGAAGGCAGGCAGAGCTGCCTGGACTTCCAGAGCATCCCCAGCCATCAGGAAACTCAAATTGGTATCAGGACCTGAGCCTCCACATTCCACTTCCAAGAGGGCCCTCGTATTGTCTCTATCCTTGTGCCCCCCTTTCTCTCTCTGGCAGAGCTTATGGATCCAGCTCTGTGCCATTGCTGCAGGACAGTAAGGTCCTCTGCTGGGCAAACATGAAGCCCTGTCCTCCTTTCCTTAGTTCCTTAGCCTTTTCTATCCTCCAGCCCTAGTCCTCAGCAGGCTACTGAAGCCCAAGGGTCACCAAGTTCTCCCTGCATCCTGAGTGATGCTGTCAGAAGCCTGTGTGAAATTTCCTTCATGGTTTACAGGGCACTTACACACCTTCTGAGGACCTTGGCCACAGACGAAGTCTCACATATACGTACATGTACACACACAAACAGTTGGGTGCTCATTGCTAAAGTCCTTAGATGGCTGATATGTGCCTGGGTTCCTCTCATATTCTGCCTCAGTTTCACTACCCTAACTTGTGTGGAACTCAAAAAGGAATGGAACACAATTCATCTAAATTCTGGATTCTTCATGTCCACAGCCTAGCTATATGATGGACCATTAGACACCTAGTATGAGGAGCCTCCTCAAAGACAGTGCTGGGTACCCATCAAGGGCTCTACAGATACTGGAGGTTGTGGGGAGGGAGGCAGCAGGGCCAAGAGACACACAGGAAAAGTGGTAGGTGGGACAGGTAAGTGGCAGAGGTGAGGGACAGAGAATTTAAGGGGCCATTCTTGGGTTGAGGGGAAGGAGAGGGTGTAGTAGGTCCATGGTGTTGGACCAAGTAGTGTTGCAGTTGTTTCTGAGTAGGGGTGAAGAATGTGTCTCTGGGCTCTCCTGCTTTTCTCTGCCCCAGGTAAAGCAGGGCAGCTTTACCACAGCTTCAGGCCACAAAAAAGCTGGCTTACCTGGCTGCAAGCTCTGTATGTAGAAGCTATGAAAAAAATTGGGTTATGGAGCGTGCCCAGCTCTGTTCAATCAGCCTGAATGCCCTAAGAAGACCAAAACGTTTCATGCCCCCACTCTTCTCTACCACCAGCATCTGCGTGGTCAAACTCAAATGAAATCCTGGCCTCCAAAACACAGCTGGCTGTGGACCCCTGTCAGCACTGTAGCTGCCTGCCTGAGGGTAGAAATTCACTCCAGCTGTGCCCGCCCCCATCACCACCAACAGCCACAGCCCACCACAAAGGCTCAGGCTTGGCACTGCTCCATCCCGGGGCCAGGTTCTTAGCAATCCTCAGTCAGATGCTTTAGGAGAGAGCTACATTCCTGCTAGGTTTGTGAGAGGGTAGCTGCCCTTTCCCTAACCCCTGCCCAGGGTGGGTGGGGGTCTTGTGGCCGTGTCGGCACCCCGACCCCTTCTGCATGTCTGAGGCCACCGGTAACTGCCTCCCCTGTCCATACTACCCCGTCCCAGTTTTGAAAGCCCCTTATTTATAACTTTTATACTTTGTTCTGGCAGTGGCGCTTGTCTCCTCCCCAGCCGCATGGGGCGGGAGCTGTTTTTAAAGTGTCCGTTTGTACTGATGTATGAACTTGTCAATAAATACAATCATTTGTTAACTCTGGGGTGGCAGCAAGTGAGGCCGGCGAAAGAAATCACTGCTTCTCGCTCCATCCAGTGGAAAGGGGTCCAGCGGCCTGGCGAGAGCTGAGGAGTGGGGGGCGGGGCTTCGGGCGGCGGGCGTCATGGCGGCGGCGGCTTTGGACGCTTTGCAAAGGGCGTTACGAGAGTTCCCGGCCGCGGCACGGGGTGAGTGCGCTAGCGGGGCATGCGCCCGACGCGAGAGGGGTCCTGGGGACCGCCGACACCTCGCACCCCTGCGCGAGAGTGGTTGGCACCCCAGCTAGGCTCGCTCTAATCACGGCCCCTCCCCCAGCCGGCCGGTGGGTCGCGGTCGCACGCGCTGTGGCTTCATGGAGTGTGTGTTTTCGTTATTTCAAGGCCTGGTGGTGTTGTGCTGGGTTCCCAGGGTCAGTCTGTGCTTAATAAATCTGGGCAGTGCATTGTTGCTCTTCCCGTAAAGAAGTCTCATTTGTAACCTCAAATGTCCACAGGTAGTGGTGGGCTTCTGTCTCTGAACCCCTGCAGAAAGGAGACAGTCGTCTTTATTCAGAACAGACTCCTCCAAGCTGTGGGCAGTGCAAAGTGTTGGGAGAATTATAGATAGCTGTTCAAGTGATCCTGGTTATTACCCTTACTGGTTTTTTTTTTCTTTCCCCTTTTCTCTCTTCCTCTAGTCCTTCCTCATCACCCCCTCCCCGAAACCTCCTGGCTTTTTAAATTTTTCTTCTTTCTGTTTTTATTATGTACTTGTTTGTATCAGTACTGGGTATTGAACCCAAGGACACTCTACCAATGAGC